CCTCATCCCAGGGCCTGCAATAACGCGTCCAGGCCGGCACCGGCAGCCAGCCCGCAACACGGCTGCACCGGTGGCCCTCAACGCCCATGTTTTGGTGGCCGGCAGAGCGTCGCCTTGGCGCCCGGCCCTGACCACCATTGCCCCGGCCCCGCCGCTGCTGGCGGCAAGGCACCCCTTGGCGCCCGGGCTGCTGCGCTGGCCCACAAGGCCGCCACAAGTAGGCTGGCTTGCTGCGTCCACGAAGAGCAGCACCGCCCCTGCAAACTTAGGACACCTCGCGCTTCATGCTGCCAACCAACTCGGACACCCCTAGAAACTATTCTCGCCACGCGCCCGCACTCAACGCCCCCTGATTGTTTCGCACCCGCCTCTCACCCATCCCCTGACATTGCCAAGCCGCGGCCGCCCCACCCCGTGCGGGCGGCGCGCCGCTTCGCACTTCCACGAGATGCCGGCGCGTAGAAACCCCCACAACTTGTTGACCGCGACCTTGCTTCACTGATATCCCGTTTTTGCCCCTTGGGCCGCGACTGATGACCGGACCCCGCCGCCCCGCCCTGACTCAAGGAAGGCCCAACAAGTTGGGCCTTCCCCCAGCTGTGGGAGCCTGCGTGCGCACGCATGTGCACGTGCAGCTCGCCACCGGCGGTCTTTCGTACTATTTAGGACCACGGACCCAAGCTTGGCTGTCGCCACGACCCAAGAGCCTGCGCGAGCGCGGATTAACCCCACCTGCTGGGCGCCCTTGGCGCCCCGCCTGCTGCCGCGCCTCGCCGCCTGCCGGCCGGGGATTGTGCGCTGTACCACCACCAGATAAGCTGTGCGCGGTGTGCCCGCCTGGCCGTGGCTGTCTGTCCCCCTTTTGCAAGAGCAGCTCCGCTGCGGGCCGATTATGCGCGGGCCCCGCTCTGCGCGCGACCCCCATGGGCGCCCCCGGGCCTCAGAAGCTGCGCGCGTGCTGCTGCCGACGGCTGCCCGCGCGCGGTCGCCTGCCGCGCGCCGCCCGCCCCTGCGTGTCGCCACGGCGTCCTCCCATGCCTCTTGGCAGCCACAGAGGGCCGCGCGCCCCGCCTGGCAACAAACGAGGTCACACGGCCTGCTCAACCGACCGACACCTGCATATTGTCGCCGTCATAACGGCCTCCCGTTGTTGGGCTGGCTTGGGTTTCGCCTGGGAGCCACCATTTCTGCCCACCCCACGCTCCCCCTTGCGGCGCGTCGGCCCATGACCTGCTCACGCGCCCTGCGCCGGTGCCTCGACCCTCCGCCCGACCGCGGGTTTCAGGACTGCTTGCATAAACGGCAGGCGCATTGACACAAACGGGTTTCAAGGAACCGCACTGCTGCCCGGCGCGCACAAAGCGCGGGCATTCATCTCCCAACAAAGCCAGGACGTGGACCCATCTTCCCTTTAGGAAGGACGTGACCCCTGGCAGGCACTGACGTTTGCCAACTGCGTAGCCACAGATTGCGCAGTGGCTGGCAAGTCGCGCGCCGGCGCTGGCACGCCCTTGCTTGCGGAAGCGGGCGTGCAGACGGCGGCCGCTGTTGTCCACGACGCGCGTTGCCAGTGGGCTAGCTCCCGGGTGGCTCATGCCGCTCCACGGCCTTGCGCGGAGCGCCCCGGGCTGCGTCGCTGACCGTTCCTCCAAATCTGCAGGGTTTGGACCCACCCGACCTGTTGGTTGTGACCGACCGACTGATAGACCTCACAGGGTGCACACGCTCACATCTTGACTCTTGGCGCGCTTGTCGCCCGCAATCCGATGGTGTTTTCATATGCGCACAGCGCGCACTACTGTTTATGGAAATCCCTTCCGCTAGTGGGATACTCTTATGCGTTATGACTGTGCCGCCCCAGCTGCGCCGTCGGTTTGTGGCCAGGTCACGTGGGGACCGGGGGCTCGCTTTCTCCTGCCATGACGTGCCTCAACACGCCCGCGCCCGGCAGAGCGCACGCTTGCCGGTTTATTTGGGCTGAATGCGGTGCACTTTGCTGTGGCCGGCATGAGCTTTGGGGGCTTGACGCCCAGACGCGCACAGACTGACATTTGCTTCGACCCAAGCAAGCCCCGCGGCCGGCACATCCCAGGGCTCCCGGCCGCCATTTTGTCCCTCCGCACCACACAAGGCCGACGCCTGGGTTGCGTGCGCGTGACCTGCGGGGGCTTGGTAGCGGCCAAGGAATCGGGCTCAGCAGCACTGATTGACCCTCACTCACCACCGTGGCCCTCACAACTGGATGCATGACAGGGGCTGCGATCCCCCTCTCCACCTAGGCCCGATTGCCGAAGTTTACTCCTTGACAGCATTTGCACCCCCTTTGACAGGACAGGCGCTGGTTGCCTCACACGCGTGCCGCCACGTATTTTGTGAGTCCTGCAACTGTCCCGCAAACACTTTACATCTGAGTAGTTGAGGCGCGTTGACCACACTCGCCAACATTTGTGGTGCAGACCCAGGCTGCGCGAAAGCTACCGGAATGTTCGCATTTTTTGGGGGCAAAGGCTGAACTTCAACCCAATTTTGTAACCCGACGAACCCGTTGTTCCACGCCTGCTCCTCTATCAGACTGCCTTGTTACATGCCACGCCGTGCGTGCGTGGCAGGGGAGCAGCGCAGGACGCTCATAGCGCTGTGTGTTGTTTGCCAGTCTAGAGTTTTTGCAAGCTATCGTGCTGGCGGCGCAATCAGAGGGATGTGAGGGGTATGACAGGCGCCGAGGCCAGTCAACCCAGGCGGTCAGGAATGTCAAAATTGTCTGCTGCTGATCCTACGGTAGCGCGCTTGTTGCTTGCTGCCGCCTGCTGCTCCTGGCCCTCTGAGTGAGACCGCACTGAGGGCCAGTGCTCGTCCTTCCTGCTCGGCTGTGCTCAGGATATGTTGTGTGCAAGGAGTAGACAGGGGAGCATCATTTGGGAAAAAACGCACTGCAGAAAAGCAAACGGGCAGGCCTGGGAGCAGCACACGAAGCAGGTGCAGCCCCCATGGAGCTGGTCATCTGCAACAATCCAGCCTGCACCATCTGCAAAGCAAGTTCTTCTTGCGTGCGACACAAATGTGGTGTGGGTGCTTTGATATGCGGGTTGCGGGGGCAGCGTCAACAAAGATTCAAACATATCAGAGTTGAGCAAGGCACGACGCGGCTCTGTGCCAGCGTTTTGAGGACAGCAGTGCCGTGTCCGAACAGCCGGCCTGTATGACAGGTTTGCGTAATGGGGCCTGCCAGGCGCCTGGCGGCAACGGCGACATTGCTTTCAAAACCGTGGCGTGAAAACCTGGCTGGCGTGCAGCCTATTGGCCCAGCTGCTGGTGCTGGTGCTGCTGCTGGTGCTGCTGCTTCTGCCGCTGCTGCTGCTGCTGCTGCTGCTGCTGCTGCTGCTGCTGCTGCGAGCCAAGCCGCTGCAGCTTTTGATCGCGCGGTAGCACACGAGGGTCCCGCATTTGCCAGGCCTGCCCTGCACCCACCCCCGCCTCCAAGGCTTCTCCACCCCATGCACCACCAGCGTGCGCAGGCGCTGCAGCGGCGCCGCCACCCGGCAGGCTGCCTGCGTGAGCAGCGGCGCTGTCACCGCCGCTGCCTCCGGCTCGCTTGAGCGACGCCGCCGCGGCCGCCCACACCTTCTCCTCCTCCTCCTCTACTGAATTTAGGTTGTCCTGTGACGCCACTGTGTGCAGGTGGTGGTGGTGGTGGCCGTGGCCATGCCCGTGGTGGTGGATGAGATGCTGTGCAGCCCCCTGGTGCTCCTGGTGGTGGTGGTGCTGCTGCTGCTGCTGAGGCGGCCGACGCCGCTCCCGGTACTGCGAACCACCGTCCCAGCTCGACGTCGGGCTGCAGCCAGGGCTGCCGGTGCCAGCGGGGGCCGCGCCGGCTGGG